GAATGACCCTATGATGGAGTTTATTCTTTAGTGATAAAACCTCACCAATATAAGCTCACATTGCTTGAGCTTGATATCTATAGGCTCATTATTGGCAACTAAAGGTCCAGAACATCAATTACTCACACAGGTGAACCAGAAGGGATGGGATGGGAGAGGCTGATAGGAGAGTGGAAATGGGACAGAGGCCAAGAAACATTTCAGTGAGGGATCTCTCTCCAATGGCTATGGTCTCTGATTTGCCCACAGTCCCTGAACAGGAAATCACAGACCTGTCTAGCATCTTGATAAGCCTGGCTTGGTCACTGGCTTTCACTCCAGCTCCTGTAGACATCTCCTGAATTCAAGGACAGAGAAGGGTCCACTGGACTCACTCAATTCCAGGCAGTCTCTCCCTTTTAGCACGGGGCAGTTCTCCACCTCCGGACAAAGACAGGAGAAAAGGTAAGGGCTTATACCAACAACTATCTTCTTTCCAAGGTTAGAGAAAGTTTTAACTCTCAATTCACATGCCTATGTTTCCACCTTGGGGTGCTACATTCAGGAGGTCATGAAACTTGCTTTAGGAAAAGGCAGGAGACATGAAGCTTCCTTCTGGACCCTGGGTGCTGGCAGCCCAGACTTTAGGAGTTCCAAGTGATGTAGAGCAAACCTTTTCCCACCGATCCATTTCCCCATATTCTCCCCTTACTCAACCATTCAAATCTGCTGTAGTGGAAAGTATGTTGCCTTTTACATTTGTTTAAGAAGGAAGGGGCATATAGGCATTGCTTTCTAGAGGTGAACTGCATAAGCCTGGGTTTTATTGTTTTATATGATTTTCAAAGTTATTTTCCTTTGTGTATTTGGAAATGTCCCAGGAAGAAAAAGATGGTCCAAACTAGAATAATTGGGCAGTATTTCATGTGGGCACTATCAACAAAGATAGGCAGGTTTAAGGGAAAGTGACAATGCGTGGGGCAGCACCCTAAGGCAGGACCAGCAAAGCACTATTTCCATTTATTGTCTTAAAATGACAAGAAAGGAGCAGTGACCATTAAGAGTATAGCTGTGGCTGTAGCTGTAGAGCTAGGAGACGAGACCAGGCAGTTCGAGAAGCCCTGCCAATTCCAATACACACCCAAATAGGCAGAGAGCCAGGAGGTGCAAATCCCAAATCACTCTCCTCCTGTCCTGCAGTCTCCTGGTAGCGTCTCCCAGAGGATCAATTCAACCAGAAACCAGAAGGTAGAGGGTCCCACTGATGAAGTACATAGAAGCCACCCCCTACAGATGCCAAACAGGGTACAGAAGGATGGAAAGAAAATCCTCATGGCAAATGAAACTAAGACTCGTAACTGCTTATGTCCTCCTACTTCCTGGGGTTTCCTCTATCTAAATGTCATTGAATCATGTCTCATCTTCGCCCTATCCATCATGAGGCACAAACAGAGAACAGTTATTTTCTGTTTGTGCCTTCTTTCTCTAGTATCATTTTTATGGAGAAATACTTACATTCATCAAAAATGGCTAGTAAATGTAATTTTAAAAAGAGAAGACATACTCTTTTTGGTTAGAATATAAGTTTGGCTGCTCTACTATGCCCCCAAATAGAAATACCCTAAACAAGAAAGTACAGCCGGCCCTACCTATCAGTGGGTTCCACATCCACAGATTCAACTACCATGGAATGAAAATATTTGGGGGAAACATGGGTGGTTGTGTCTGTATTGAGAAAGTATTGCATTTTTCTTGTTATTGTTTCCTAAACAATACATACAATGACTATTTACGTAGCATTTTCATTGAATTACATATTTATTACTAATCCAGAAATGTTTTAAAGTGTATAGGACAATCTGTGTAATTTATCTGCCAACACTATTCATTTCATATTAGCAGATAGAGCATCTGCAGATTTTGCTGTGTACCTGGGTCCTGGACAAATCCTCTGCTCATAGTCAGGGATGAATGTAGTTAACACCTGAGCTAGGGGCGCTAAGGCATCACACATTAGGACTCCAAGAACTTTTGTTCCTCAATCCCTAGCAGAGTTACTCTCATCCTCATAATGCTCCATGGCTTCAGCCACATCAGCATTCAAGACTGATGGAGGAGGAAGGTGGGGAGAAGAGGCTCTGCTCCTTATGTTAATCCCACGTCCCAGGAATGGTTACCCCTCTTCCTCTCACCTCCCACTGGCTAAAAACTAGTTACATGGTGTCATCCAGGATCCAGAAAAACTGGGATGGGAGTCCTTTTGCCTCTTTAAAACTCTCAGAATTGGCCGGGCGCAGTGGCTCACGCCTGTAATCCTAGCACTCTGGGAGGCCGAGGAGCGTTGATTGTTTGAGCTCAGGAGTTCAAGACCAGCCTAAGCAAGAGTGAGACCCCGTCGCTACTAAAAAAATAGAAAGAAATTAGCTGGACAACTAAAAATATATAGAAAAAATTAGCCGGGCATGGTGGCACATGCTTGTAGTCCCAGCTACTCGGGAGGCTGAGGCAGTAGGATCACTTGAGCTCAGGAGTTTGAGGTTGCTGTGAGCTAGGCTAACACCACGGGACTCACTCTAGCCAGGGCAATAGAGTGAGACTCTGTCTCAAAAAAAAAAAAAAAAAACTCTCAGAATTATTATGCGACAGAACAGGAGAATGGAGATTGGGGGAAACTAGCAGTCTCTGCAGCCCCTGATCAGCGCTCAGACTCTGTACTCATGTGAAGGTTTTGGGGCAGCTCCTCAGAAATACTGAATGGTGGAGCAGAGAACCGTGGGGAACTCCAGAGATCAGGAGCTGGTACTGGGCCTGCTCTTCCTGGTGTGAGCCCAGGAAAAGCCTTGACTCTTTACCCCTCAGCTTCTTTTTATGTTAAATGAGGATGTTACAATAGCTAGCCTCTGGGGAATACGTGCTAAATGTTGTTCATACTGTGGAGCAACATGGATTAGTTCTTTGGAGTTTTAGGTCGATGAGGAAGACAGAGGCATCACACTAAATAAAATGTACAAATTGGGAAGAGCCCTGAGTGGGGATAACAGAAATTCTCATTTTCCTCCCATTTCCTTTTCTGGTCAACCAAGGCTGTGGGAGATAGGTTCTCTGAGAGAGCTTGTGATGGATGCGTTCAGTCCTGACGCCTTCTACACCCAGCAGACAGACACATCTCCTTTCCACTGGGAGGTCTCTCGCCCCTGTGAGTCTTCAGGACTCCAGACCAAAGGCTGCCTTTGGGAGGCAGAAAAGGGCTCCTGAATTCTGGCACCTGTTCATAATTGTCTTTAACTTACCTCTATTTTGTTTCCTATTTGATTGATTTCTCATTCTCTTTCTATTTGGAAATTACCAAGGTCAGTTTTTTTTCCAATCCACAATGTTGACGGCCAACATGGATATAACTTGGGAATAACTCCTCTGATTTCCTCCAGTGGTCCCCAACCTTTTTGGCACCAGGGACCGGTTTCATGGAAGACACCTTTTCCATGGATGGGGCGGGGGGAAGGAGGCAGAGTTCAGGTGGTGAAGCATGCCCAGTACCTAACAGACCATGGACCGGTAGGATTGCGCCTTGGGGTTCGGGTCCACAGATGTGAAATAAACACACAGTGTTGGTGGGTCCAAAGTCTGGTCCAAAGGGTGGACTCTGAGGGAGAGTGAATGGGTTCAAATCCACACTGTGCGAGGCCAGAGACAAATAGCTAATGCTTTCTGTGCTCCAATTTCATCCTCTGCAATATGAGAATAATATAATTTTTACTTCATGGGCTTGAGACAGGATTAAAAGAGACAATACATAATAAACTCTCAATCAGCTGCTCTTATTCACCCGGATGTGAGCTCGTCCTCTTTCTTCAATTCAAATCTGAAAGACCATCTCCCTTTGCATTCCCAGCCCTGGACTTTTTCTATTTCTCCTCATACACAGCTCTCACAGAAAAGCTTTCATCAGAAGAGGACACTCTGCTAAAAATCTCCTAGGAGAGAGAATGGAGGAGGTGTATATTGTACACACCCAGCACACTACCTACTAGCTCTCCCATAGATGTTTTCATACCTCAAATCCCTCCAGCAGTGACACTGAGACCTCACTCTTACTCCTTCCTCCTCTGCATTGATGAGCGATTCACCTCAGACCCGCGCCTACCCCCACACTGTGGACCAAAGTGATTCTAGATGCTCAACAAACCCATACTAAGTTGTCACCTCAAAGGCACTCGGGTCCACTTCAGATATTTGGGGACATATAAGTAATTCTTCTAAACACACAGAGCTCTCCACAAAAAGAATTCTGAGGTATGAAATTTTCATCTCCTTATACATGTATGTTCTAATGCCTTTCATTGTGTGTTCCATTTTTATTTTCCATATATCACAAATCTACCACTACCATTAGGCTCCTCATTCGTGCATTCACTCATTGAATAACTATTTATTGAGAACACGGTGTGCTGTACACGGAGCCAGCCCTGGAGATACAAAAAGTACACCTGCCCTCAATAGCTGACACACTTAGCTGTTTCTAGCCCACCTGGCCCAGCCATCCTCATGCCTGTGCTCATGCCTAGCAAGAGGTCTCTTTCCCCTCATGTCCCTAATATATCGTCTTCTCTTTCCTCTATGGATGGACCACTCTTAGTCATGGGGGTGTCGTAATCACCTCTGTCTTTTTGAATTCCTGGACCAAGAGAAGATTTATGGCTAAGGAGAGAGTAACGCTTAGGTCCATCACCCTAGCCTGTTGTGTAGAGGTGTTTCCATCACAGAATATTCCCATGTCAGCAGAGGACCTGTGTTACAATAGAGAGAGCCCTGGCTTTAGCCAGCTAGAACTGGGTTTGAATCCAGCTTTGAGAACAACCCTCATTTTGTTTGGTTATTTATTCTCTGCAAACCTCTGTTCCCCTCCTCTGTAAAATGGAGACAGTCATTCGCACAGTACAGGATGGTCCTGAGAATCAGAGATGATACAGTTGTTGCTCAAATCTTGTGTTCCCAGGGGCACCAGTGGAGGGTTTCTCAGCATGGATCCCACCATCCCAGCCCAGAGCACAGAACTCACACCAAGGAACGGAAGTGCTGAGCCCCCTCCTATAACTTGCTACGAGCTGGCCCTGATTCCAGTCTTGCCGGTGATCATCATTGCCCTGCTCGGGCTGCTGGGAAACGCAGTTGTGTTCTGGCTCCTTGGCTTCTACATGCGCAGGAACACCTTCTCCATCTACTTCCTCAGCCAGGCCGGGGCCAACTTCCTCTTCCTCTGCTTTAACACTGTCAATGTCCTGAAGAAACTCATCAGTACATTCAGTTTAATGAGCAAGGTCTTAACCTCCATGATGCACTTTTCCTGCCTTGCAGGGCTGAGTATGTTGAGCGCCATTAGCACCAAGCGCTGCCTCTCCTCTCTTCCTCTCTCTTCTTCTCTCTCAGCTTTGCAGCCCTTCTTGGTGGGGTCCCTTGATGACTTTGCTGTCTCTGCCTGTGATCCACATCCAGGCCACAACTCTTCTCCACTCTCCTTATTACAGCCTTCCACCCTTCAGCCTGGACAGTCTGACAAGCCATGTCTCTAGTTGGCCATCATGGCTCCCTCTCCCTGTCCTCATTCTTAATGACTCCAATATCCATGGCCATGGTCAATCCAACATCCTCACCTCTCCATATTCTAAACACTTCCTTCCTTTAACCTCATCACATCCATCCCATTTAACCCATCCACTCAGGGACCTTGTCATCACCCACAATGGCATCACCTCCAAAGTCTGTTGCAAGATCACTCTGTTTGACCCTTACTTCTGATTTTATACTAACTTTTCCTAGTCCCTTAACTCCAGGGACTCCCCCACACCATCCTGATGTCTAGTATCTCGACCCAACGTGGCTCATTGACCACCACTTCCTCCTTCCATCCTTGCCAAGATCCATTGTAATCACTACCCTGCACATACCCTTCACCCCTTTGCCACATTCTCCTCTGCCAACTTGCCAGACAAAACACCACCTGGTTAAATCCATCTCTCACACACTCCATGCCTGTTCCTAGAGAGCTGAGTGTCGGCTGGTACAGGTACTAACTTCTTTATATCTCACAAGAGGGGTCAATTTGTCCAGTTGTTAACACAAGTAAACTTTTTAAAATAGTAAGAAAAATTTACTGTTCAAAGCTAAATCCATAACTAATGAAAGATTTAAGAACAAAAACACTAACAAGTTATTGCTTCCAGACAATAGGATTCAGGAAGACTT